AGATGTTAGTACAACGTGAACATTACACAACAAAATATAATATAATGAATATAATCTTTTATTTTTTTGCTCGGCACTCATAAAAATAAAGTTTTTCGATTAGACAATTTGTTTTCTGTTAAAAGTTTTAACYATTAACTCCCTTTTTCTTTTTTAATATCAGTCTAATTTATTGCTGACCAGTAATCATCTACTAAATTAAATAATTGAACTGAACAATACTAGTAAGTCATAAAGCATGCCATATTAACCCAGGTACAAAAACATTGCTTTAGTAAGAAAACTTTTGAGTATTTGCTAAATTTTAACTACCTACCCAGCAAAAATAGTAAAAACAATAGTATACTAGTATAGTGCCTACTGAAGAATTAAGGCTGTGTTATTTAAGCCAAACTTGAAAGTGAGCATTTGTTCACGTTTTTATGTGTTATGAAATTATAATGTCTATAGTTATAGGCAAGTTTTGGGTGTTAATGCAATAAAAAAAGGCATTTATTTTATTATTAAAAATAAAACAAAAATATCTTAAATGTTTGATTTAATATGTAATTTTGTATTTTTGTATAAATTGGAGTTGAAAATAACTATGATACTAAATGGCATTCAATTATTTTTTGATTTTTTGGTTATGGAAAGAATTACTTACCTTGTTATAATTTTTCAATACTGGGTTATAAAAATGGAACATTTAAAACATTTTCAAGTGGAAGATAAAGTGCAAATTTTATATAAGATACATTTTGTCACATAGGCGCCCGTAAGGGGTGGGGGGGCAAGCTAAGGAATTTGCCCCCCCCATGGCTTTTTCAAAATATTTTTTTTAATTGAATGTTTTAAGATAAATTACTATATACTATACAACAAATTGAAAGCGGTTTTAAAAATAGTAGGATACCATTAGAAATATTAAAAACATTATATTAGATTTAATTGATCTAATTAATAATAACAAATATTAWGAAGAAATTGTTGATCGTTTCGGAAGAGATGTGAGACGATTACAATTTCTTTTTGAGAATTAGTTACCTTCACCTTTTA